TGAACTAAAACTACGTTTTAGTGGGTGACTGTGTTGTTTATTTATTGAAGAGTTGCGTACAAAAATTGGACAACTGGAAGAAAAAGCTTCATAAATATGTGCTGAAAACTTTTTTTTCCCAAGACATACATGGCAGTCTTCCAACAGAAATCTGTAGGCCAAGCTTTTGTCAGCCCACGCAGTGACACCTCATGTGCTTGTTATAAGAACGTCTGGATTCAGGCATCAATGTGAGCTTGAAAACATCATGCTGACAGTATTGCGAGAGAACAAGTTTTCCTCAAATGGTCAGCTGGGATTCGAAACCACATTTTTTCTTTTAGAGGTCAAACAAAAAGTACTTCCATAGCAATAGCAGAGTCCCCCATTAAAAAAAAAGAGTCTCTTCTAATCGCAGGTTACTGTGTTTTACCTCCCAAGATCGGTTTTCTAGCTGTGCAGGAGGATAAGCATTTAAAACTGTTCAAGAGGAAATGTATGACTAGAAATAAAATATATTGAACCTCGTTCTCCTCTTTCTCCCAGTGGTGTCTCTCTATTGCCATCCATGGCGCTCTCCTAATTTAGAATGAATAGTAAATCAGACCCATTGTATATGTTATATGACAGGGGTGGCCAAACTGCAGCTCGCGAGCCACATGTGGCTCTTTTACAGTTAAAATGTGGCTCGCAGAGTCCTCCATGCCCCGCCTCCCGCATTCTCTGCCTATCAGGGGATTTAGAGGGGGGGCAGACTTGAGGCAGGATGGTGGGGCTAGGGGCTTCTGCCAGAGAAGACTGGTCCTTGCTGAGGGGGGGTACACACACAATTTAAAAGGTCGGGCCTCCCCAACAGCTTGAATCACGCCCCACCTCTTACCATCAGCAGCCCTCCCTGTAGCGCCGCGTGGCAAACAGCTGGAAACTGCAGATAGGGGCCACTGCTTTAGCTCCCTGAAGCTCTCAGTTGTTTGCTGCTGCCTCTGCCCAAACTGCAGCTCTCAGCTTGGCGGCTCCAGCAGCTGCCGTGCAGGGAGGGGGCCCAGTGGAACCATGTGACTGAACAGGGCCAGCAAATCATGGCAAAAATCACATGCCCCGCTCATGTGTCGCCTCTGGCTTCTGCCCAAATGGGAGGGGTGGCCTGGACAGGCGCCTCCCACAGGGCTGAATCTCTGAGCTCCCACTCCCTGCAGGGCTGAAGTCCTGAGCCTGGGCAGGCGCGCCTCACAGGACTGAAGCCCGGAGACTCCCCTCCCCGTGGGGCTGAAGCCCTGATCCCCGGCTCTCAAACTTGTGAAGATTGTCGTATGTGGCTCAGAGGGTCAGTAAGGTTGGCCACCTCTGTTATATGACATTCCAATGCAACATGCTAAACTTTAATGCAAAGGGGTGGGTTTCTCGAGCCCCTCATTTCAGGAAACAGGAAGTAAAATAATGCTCACACTCTTTACCCTGCTCTTTCATTTGCTGTCTGCTTTAAAACAATAACGAACAAATTACTTTGCTAATCTCAAAGAGTAACCATTTTTCAATCCCATCATAAACTTGACTAAGTTCCTGTCACACAATTTCTGGGTCATAGATATATAAATGTTTCCCCGTTTTCCAGTAAGCTTTTTTTTAAAATTACATCTGGAAATCTGCATCATTTTCTTATGAAACTCACTCCTCTGATGAATGTGTTTACTCTGACCCTGGCGTTTTTTTTAAAAGGTAAAGAGGGCCGGGGTGTGAGTGTGTGAAACAAGCTGCTCACTACATTTTTAATCTCTGTTTAAAAGACACTCTCACCCTTACAACATCACATGCAAGCTGGCCCGAGATAAAATACCAGGAGGAACAGTCTGGACTAAAAAAAGGTTAATAAAGGCAATAACCCCAAAAACTAACTCATTGGCAGCAATTACCAACCCATTTAAAAATTAATGATGAACCAAGGAACAACAGCTTTTTCCTTTTTAAAATCTTGTCAGGAACATGTAGTGCTAACTGTAATGGATGAAGCAAAAAGTAATTGGAAAAACTTATTTCCTTGTCATCAGAAGGGATTATTAAAGGAGACTATCCTTGATGCAAGTAAATTAATTCGATTATCGAATACACTCTAATACAGGAAAGGCCTTAAAATGTTTCATTGTTTTCATGTAGTGACAGATGCAGAGTTTTTAAAAAAGTGACAGAATGCTAACAGATGACAATATGAGGTTATTTTACAGGAAAAATGCTTTTGTAGCTGCTAAGAAGAAAACTGCTTTAGCTATTTTTTAAATAAGAAACAGTTGCGTTTGATGGAGAAGCTGACATAATAAAAGAAAGTACTGTATATTTTGTCCCAATACTATTGCCAGTAAGGGGACATTGTCAGCCTGTTTCAAATCTCTAACCACTGAAATATGCATGTCTGCACTTAAGATTCCTTTGATAATCCCAGTTTATAAGGGAATTAGATGCCCAAATTCCATTGCATTTCAATGGGATTTGAGTGCCTAAGGGCCAAATTTTTAAAGGATTTTAGGCTTTGCTCAGCTGCAGTTTTCTCCTGCCACAAACGCTAAATGGTCTGAACTTTGTTTCACTTGTGTGGCATTACTTAGCCTTAGCCCATCAGCTTTACAATAGGTTTTTGGGAAGCTAAAGGGATAACATTGCAGTTAAAAAAAAGTTCTAAGTATCTGGAAGACTGGTAATAACTTGTGCCTCTTTAGAACCCATTTAGATGAGGCATGCCAGGTAAATTTTGATTTTCTTCTATCTCATCTATTTAGGTATTAATACCATGCTCATCTCCATAGTGTCAGAGTATTTCTAGTGAGCTGCTGAAGGTATTATGCATTAATTATGGTAACAACTACAAAGAAACAGTGATATAAACATTTCTTGTTTTGACAGGGTAATTTTTATTAATAATGCACATAAATCTGTCACACCTAGTAGGCGCCAGTCCTTTTTCACACTCTAAGACTTTTGGGAGAATAAACTAGAAAGACAGAAATTAAATGAAGCTAAAGACACACACTTGCAGGTGGGTCGATTTTGGATTTTTTTAACATGATTTTCCATGATTGTGTCTCTAAAAATTAAATACATTGAGAAATACAGTAGAAAGAATATATTTACAATTATAATGGGCACTGCCAACATATCCAATAACAAAAATAAAACAAAAGCTTTTTTCATGTTTCTTGCATGCTTTTTTCCCCACAGAGATTTTTAAATATGATTTTGTTTTTTTTTTAAAATACAATAAGGAAATAATTACATTCTTAATATGAGAACATTATCTTACAACATACAATCAGACCCAATTAATTTGAACGTGTCTAAAAAATGAAAAACTGATACTAAATTAAGTATTCTCTGTTAGAAAAATCAAAACACCAAAATCATCCTATAAAAAACACCTTTGGTCTCCCCAAAACTATGATCGGATATTTAAAAAAAGCACCTGATACAGTAATAGGAGTTTGTTTAGGAAGCACATGTGTCACATTTTCTCAAAAGACATAGAAATGTGATGATTTAAAATACAAGAGTTTTCTCTTTAAAATGTCATACTGTCTTATTGCTGAGTTTGCCTGGTAATTCTGAAATTTCAAAACTATGAAAATACAAACTTTGTTGCTTTTTATTAAAATTTGTACAGTAAGAGTAACAAGCAAAAAAATGAGTATTTCACAGCACTGAATATGTTCTGGAAAGAGGCTATTTCCGGTGTTTGGTATATTCTATATTACAATACCTTGGCCATTATATAGAATAGTCTTAGCTAGTATGCTAATTGCAAAATATTAGCAATGTACTTGCACATTTAGTTACACAATATGTCCACAATATGTCATTTAGAACAGGCATTTAGGGGTCCCACTCTTAAAGGTGTATGTGGCAGAATGGAAGAATCATTACATGGAGTTGTGCATCATATAAGCAGCCTGCAGTTTCTGTTTGCTTAGAGGAATTGGCACACTCATCTCAGGCATGAGATAAAAAATTAACCCCAAGTCATTCCTCATTATGGGGAAAAAAGTTACAGAGCCAATCTGGGGGAAAAAAGACTCAAATTAGTTAGGCTATTGGCTGTTCAGTGTTATTGATGTGGGACCACTTATTAACGGCAACTGTTTCAGCATCACACATGTTGACTAGAGGCCTAATTTGCATCATAAATATGTACAGATATAAATTAAATATTTAGTGAAATATACAAATAAATAACTTTTGAAGTAAAAAGCCTAAATGAACTTACTTTTGCATCAAACTTTTTTTCCTGATGTTTCTGGGATACTCTATAGTACTGTAGTCCATATCATGCAGCATAACTTGTGCCCTTTACCTAGAAAATGTTAAGGTCAATCTAAAATACAATACAATAGTCAGCTTTGAATAAGACACAATGCTGACATGTATTTTCCTACTGTATTTGCATTCTTGTGGCCCCTAAAAAAGCTATATTCTTGGGAGGCAACAAGGCCTATTGCCATTTTGGACCCTGATCCTGCACCACTAAGGGAGCCTTGTCATTGACTTTAATGTCAATCAGACCTTTAGTAGTGGGCCATTATGACCCAGTCTTTCAAAAGCGCTCAGAGCCCACAACTGGGGCCACATTTTTGGGGCTGCTGGGTGCTGAACATTTTAGCCTATGGTTGTAGCCTGCAGTTTGCAAGCATGTATAACACCCATGGATGGCCTTTTGCTCCTTATTCTGAGTTTTACGTACCTGTGTACATTTACAAAGCTATGTAAATTATTACCAGTGATAGAACTGAAGGACTGGGCCACCAAGTGATCTGTTCTTCCCTTGATGTCGGTATCTGCAATGTTGCCAACTCTTCTGTTTTTATCAAGAGACTGGTGATATTTGGTGCTTTATTTAAAGCCCCAGCAACTGGAGACAAGTGATTATGTCAAAATCTCAACTTTAGTTTCAAGTTCCTGATTGTGGAGATAATCTTGAAAACATGACCTGAGTGCATTATAAAGGCTCGAAAAACAGAAGACAAATAAAAATAACTTTTTTTAAAAAACAAAAGTTTCATGATTTTTAAGCCACTCATTAATTTAGGGGCTCGACTCATGAATTTTGAACAGTTGGGTTTGGCAATAAGGCATCTGACTTTTTAGCAGAGACATACACATAACAAAGGGAAAACAGACTTCTGAATTATTCACAGACTAAAAGGAAAACCCTGTTACTTGACAAACAGAAAATGAGTCCTCTCTCACAAATGTCTTGTCACTTCTTATTTCATCATCGTGTATAAAGGAGATTGGAAATTCACATTTCCTCAAAAATATTCTCCAAGATCTGAAAGGACCGCAGGAAGCAAATACAATAGAGTTATAAAACCTGACTTTAACAATGTTAAAACAAGCAAAACAAAATTGCATGAGCCTTTTAAAGTTGCTGTTATTTAAAAATTAATTTTAGAGGCTGTCTGTGGGATTTTTTTGGGAGGTGCAGAAATGAAGCAACATATAAAAAGCACTTTGTTGCTTTTTTTAAAATCATGCCCAAATAATTTTTTAGACTACATGAGAGATGTTTGAAGATGACAGGTGCTTAGGCACAACAGCAACAACAACAATAAAAAGAACATATTAAAATGCATGGCAGCTTTTTATGTCCTGCTGACAAAAGCATCTGTCTAAAATATATCAAAAAATGCTTCACAGCCAAGTTGTCATTCCATGGTCGTCTTATAACCATTGCGAAAAGAGTGGTGGGGAAGAGTTCCTGACTTCCCAGCTCAAACAAGTCATGTCGTTCCTGTGGAAACATTCCTTCAATCTCCTGCCAAGTGAACAGGTAACAGCTGAATGAATCCTAACGAGCAAGCTTGTGAAAAGTCCTCTCTCAGGTGGTGGAATTCTGAAAGTCAAAATTAGCCTTACTAGTACAACATATCTAAATTTATATTATTTCATCTGGGTCTCAAAGCGTGCACCAGTCTTGATTTCCATTCAGGATTTTTGATGCAATGTCATTTACATTGTTGGTTTAACCTCTTTCATCAATGTAAACTTTCAGTTGCAACTATATGCTCCTTTTTACTAAGATTTTTACAAATAAAGTTGGAAATAAAGAGTTACAGGCAATAAAAAGGGGCACACTCAGTTACACAGTAATACAGTAGAAAGAGTACAGTCAAATGAAGGCCAAACTACTGTTAACTGAACATAATTATAAAACCTTGTCACTTGACACCACTTTACAGATGAGTCTTTTGCAGCCTATGTCTTGGTCCATATGAAGCAAGGCCTTTAAGCAAAGTAAACAAATTTGTAATGCTTATGTTCCGTTTTTCAGCTCCCATTCCTAGAAGGGAAAAATAAAAGATGGGGAAATATTATAGAAATCTATGTGTCTATACATACATGTACTCTGTATGCCATTATCTAAAGCAGAGATGAAGATATTGAATAGAATCTGACCCAGAACTGATCCCTGTGGGACCCCACTCAATATGCCCTTCAAGCTTGACTGTGAACCATTGATAATTACTCTCTGGGAACTGTTTTCCAACCAGTTATGCACCCACTTTATAGTAGCTCCATTTAGGTTCTATTTCTCTAGTTTGTTTATGAGAAGGTCATGTGAGACAGTAACGAAAGTCTTATTAAATTCAAGATATACCATATCTACTGCTTCCTCCCTATCCACAAGGCTTGTTACCCTGTCAAAGAAAGCTATTAGGTTGGTTTGACATGATTTGTTCTTGATAAATCCATGCTGTTACTTATTCCTTATCATCTTCTAAGTGTTTGCAAACTGACTGCTTAATTATTTGCTCTGTTATGTTTCTGTGTACTGAAGTTAAGTGCATGACCCAGATCTGCAGGGCTCCCTGAACAAATGCATGGGACATGAGGCAGGGATGGGCGGAGGCCATGCTAAAGCCATGCAGCCATAGTCTTTGGTCTGAAGTATTATCTGTGGAGCAATTACACAACTGATTCAGAAGTGTGTGTGTGGGGGGGGTGGGGGGCGGATTCTTCTTCCCCATTTCCACTGCAGAGACAGAATAATAGAAATGTAGGGCTGGAAGGGACCTCAAAAGGTCATCTAATCCAGGCCCCTGTGCTGAAGCAGGCCTAAGTAAGCCTAGACCATCCCTGACAGATGTTTGTCTAACAGGTTCTTAAAAACCTCCAACAAGGGGATTCTGCAACCTCCCTTGATACTTAACTAAATTATCCTTATGTTAGAAAGTTTTTTTTAACGCTAATTGGGCTTGATGCTGGATTCCTGAATTTGTTGCTCATTCCATAATCTTTAAGAGGTCTTTCTCACTGACAACCGGCAAATATCTTGCTGTTGCTTGACAGCAATAATTTATCGTGTTAAGATAAATAGGTGCATCATTCCAACTGCATGATCCTTTTTGATGTTACAGTCATGGCAGAGCACCCGTGGTGACCCAAAGCTGGTGTCCCTTAGGCAGGGCCTAGAGCCGGCCCTGCCCTTAGGGATGCATGAACGGAACAGGCCCCAGAGTCTGAACTTTTAGATTTGAGTTGGTTCGTTAAGCATAAGCCTCTCCCCGACTCCGTTACTCTCTGGAACACCCCCTCGGGCTCCTGTATTGTCAAGATATTTCTATTAGGGGGCCAGAGGTTTGAAAGTCCCTCTGCTAGATGGGTTGCTCTGTTCTAATTCCTCCTGCTTCCCCTTTCAGAATGCACTATGTGCGCTAGAGTAGTCTCTAACCAGACAGGCCCCAAAGCATGGGAGATCTGCAGAGAGCAGCCACTCCAGCAGAGTGTGCGCAGCCCTGAAGTTACATTGTGCCATATAACACTCAAATGAGGGAAGTAACAGAAAAAAGGGCTCATAGCAGAGAGAGTCAGCGCACCATGGGTCGGACACAGAGTGGACAGAGCTGGGGAAAGAGAGTAAGAATGGAGACAGACAAGGGGTAGAAATAAAAAGATAAAGCGGATCAGATAAGTATCCAAAATTTTCAGGGCTTACGCAAATACATCCTACCTATTGTGAAATGTATCCATTGCTAGGAACTTTAGAGTTAGCACAGACATGAAACTTGCTTCATCTCCCACACACTATGAGGGAGGTTACATATGCTGAATCAATTCCACTCTCCGGATGCTCACATACAACTCCCACTGATTAGTCAAATCATTAAGGGCCAAATGGGCCTCTAGGCTTACTCATAACTACACAAGGCCAAAACATTAAGTGCCAAATTCCACCCTCATATTTGTACATTCAACTCCCATTGAAATTAATGTGAGTTGCAGATGCATACCTGATGGTGGAATTTGGCTGTATCTAGTTGTGAATGAGCTCAGTACAGTTTGGGTCGTATTATCTAATTCAGCTAAATTTCACTGTTAATATTTGGAGTATGCAGTTTTATGAAAAGGTGGCAACAGCTGTTAAATCTGAATTCAGTATGTGGAATTATTTTCCATTGATAGAAAAGTAGCTTTGTATTCTTTTAAATCGTCTAATCCTACACCCAAGATTTTTCTAGAAAAGACTCTGATTAACCAATACTGTTCTTTAAATCTTCTATTCACAACTAACAGAGCAGATTTTGCTGCACGGCACTATTCTGAGCAACTCTTGTAGTAAAATACATCAGTAAGTGAATAAATAAATTGCTAATATATAGTCTCTTTCATCCCAAGAATTTTACTTTTCAGAAATGGGGAAACTGAGGCACAGATAGGGTTAGTGACTTGCCTTATGTGACATGACAAGTTTGTGGCACAGCAGGAGAGCCCAGCTCTCCTGACTCTCAGTTGCATGTCCTAACTACTGGATGGTGTTCCCTCACTAATGCTTTGCTAAAATGCATTTGTTTGTAAATTCTGCTGTCAACACTGCAAACGTATATAATGAATGAAAAATATATATCTTAGCATCAATGAAATGTTAAAATGCTTCCTACAATACAACAAATATGGTTGTTTTAGACAAAATAATGGAGTGCACTATGAAGAACAGATGTGTAGGAGTATTGTTTATAACTGTAGTTAGCAATGAACGGACCAAAACAACACAAAGATCTCAGACCCATGCCAGCAGTAACACTCCTTTCTACATGCTGTACGAGTTGTTCAGTAACATACCTTAACTAGCCAATTCAGCCAGGCTCAGAGAACTGCCATGAAAATCCCATTTAACATAAAGCACAAGTAGCACGTCTATTAAAGACTATATTAATGGGGTAGGAATGCAAAGTTTCATCCAGGCGCTGGTCAGAACAAATTAAATTCAACGGATTTCTACTTTAATTGTACAGCAAGAGTGGTTGCTTGCACAGTACATTTTCAATTACTACAGCCTAGAACTATTTAGCTCATGCATCAACTGGCAGTGATTATATCTGATATTCTTTTGATTACTAAAGCATTGGGTTTAACAATGACACTAAATGCTTATTGACTAAACCCATTAGGGTAATGGTGAAGGGAGTAAAGGACCAGTCTGTATCACAGGCCATTTACAGCGAACTCCATAAAAGAACAGAGAGAGATACAGAGTCAAATCTATCATCTTAATATAGTATTTCTGTTCTGTCATCTGGTTCCCCAAATTTACCCCATCAGAATGAAATTAATCCCTGTACAGAGGATCAGCATGAAACCATACACTACTTAATGTGAGTGTAGACCTTGGGCCAGCCCTCTATACTGGTGTGAAATTTCACCCTTAGAAATTCAAGCAGCAGGAACCAATCTTTCTCTCCCCATGAATAAAGGAGAGATGAGAAACATGTCATGAGGGACGGGGACAGAAGAAGAAAGTCAAACAATAGATCTTCTCACCTTTGCTTTTCGAAGGACATGGCCTCGACACGGAGAATTACTTGATGAAGGAGGTTTCTTCAGCACTGCTGCACTGTTCACTGGTATTGAACATTCAGTATCACTCGTATCACAACTGGAGATAGGAGAGTTTTCCAGAGTTCGATGCTTGAAAATTGGAGACTGACAGACAGAGCGGACAGAATGAAAGTCTCAGACTGGGCAATGTTTCCTCCAAAATATTCATAAAAATAAAAATCTTCAACTGGGTAAATTTTTTCCCAAATATTCATGTAAATATTATTTATTTAAATTTAGAACTGCAGAAAACTACAAGTATTGTTTTAAAGTTATGAAAAGTACATTGACAGACAATCCTTTCCAAACATGAACTACACTCATTAGGACAGCAAATCCCATTTCCTGAATAAGCAAAACAAAAGAAAGTAAATAGTTATATACTCTATGATGGCTGCTTCAGTTCCCTCTAAATGACTGAACAACAGTGACGAGGTGGGCCAGAACAGTGAACCAACACAATAACTGACCATTGAACCAACACAATAATTTTGTCCATATTGACCCTGGTGATATTAAAGGTATAGAGAGGTTAAACTCTTTGGGGGAGGGACTGTCTCTTATATGTTTGTACAGCTCCTAGCACAATGTGGCCGTGGCCTCTAGGCACTTCCACAATACAAATGGTATCACATGTTCCCTATAATTCCATACATATCGATCCAATGTCATTGCTGAAGAGGACACCAGCTGCAGGGGAGCAATGGAAATAATTCAAAATAAGCCCATGAAAAGAAAGCAGCCAAGCTCTATAGATCAGATGCCTGATCCTGCAAGATGCTGAACACTCTCAGCACCCAGTCACTTTCCTGGATGTAAGAATCCCATTTCATAGGATTGAGCCCCACATGGTTGGGAGCTTTTCTGAAATCATTCAGCTGTGGATGTACCTGTGGGCTTGAGGTTCCTGATTTGGGCTCGATTGCCAATCCCAGTGTGATGCCGCCAGCCAAGGCTTTCTTCAGGCTCTCTTTCACCTCAGTCAGTTCCAACTCCAGATTAACACGCTCCGTCTCCTTCAGCTTACATTCCTCTTCCAGCTTCCTTAACTTATCTTCAAGAATCACTTGAGTCTTCCTGCCTGAAATCCAGAGATGGGTGCTATTCCAACAGCAGGCCTCAGCTGATGGACTCAGTGCTAAACAGGGTTCACTTATTTACAAATAGGGAACAAATGCTTTAAAATGCTTGGCTACCCAAACAGCTACACACACTGTAAGGTTTCAGCCTCATTCAAGTAAGATGTTTTGCACTTCAGATAATGCTCAGTGCTTCATCTGGGGCACTGTCCTGGGGCACCATCCTGTTCAGTTTCTAACCATGTTAATTTTCCGTTAGTCTCTGTACCACAAAAATGGAAGTAGCCAGTGATTTTAAAAAAATGGTGACCTTTCCTACTTCTCTGTGAGTTGCTGATAATTGTGATAGCGTATTTTGGAGTTAAATGCGCTAATAGCACAAATATATTTGTATAGCAATTATAGTCTAATTTTATATATTTTAACACAAAAACTGTACCTCATGTTACACCTGTAACAAGCAGTTTGGATTTTTGAAAAATACATTCCAGGCCTCAGGAAAGAATTCCATTTGGTTAGCTAGAATTCTTTAGAGTGCCTGGCTCTCACACAATAAAGCACCTCATACCAGCATTAACTTCAATGGCAGCTCGCAGGTCTTTCCTTTCTTTTCGGAGCTGAGCCAACCTGTTCCTCAGAGCTTCTTTCCTCCTTAGCAACTCCTCCTCTTTGGTTTGTAACCTCTTCGCATCTGCCTCGACGCGGTTCTTGCCATATTTGTACTGATCTGCATCTATATAGAAAGATTAAAGAGTAATGATGATTTTATTAACTCCTTCTCTGAATGGCTCAGAATATAGGAACATCACTAATTAGAATGTGAGATGGGACAAACAAAATATAAACACCCCTGTAACTTCCTGCTCTCAACTTTGTGACTCGGGCCCCTCTGATCTCTTTGGATAAAATAAGCAGTGAAACAACCCTTCATCTATTCATCAAATCGAACTCCACCAAAATCTTTTGCAATGTTTGAGAAAGTTGGGTTAACATTTTTTCTTTTCTGTTTTCATTGGCTTTTCCCACACTTCTTGATCCCTGCTGCGATCTGAAGCACAAATGCTGAAATAATGTGAGAAAGACTTATTTTCAAGAACTTTCTGGAAGAAATGGAAAATACCAGACACCTTCCAAGACACCTGTTCTAAGAATTCCTGCCTGAGTGTGCAAACAAAACAGGTTCTGATAAGTATGCAAAACTTTTCCTCTGCTTATCCAGACTGAGGGCTGGTCTACACTACGGTGGGGTGGGTGAGTGGGAGGGATCGATCTAAGTTACTCAACTTCAGCTACATTAATCTTCAGGTAACATCGCTGAAGTCGACGTACTTAGATCTACTTATTGTCGTATCTTCAGTGCAGTGTGTCGACAGGAAACGCTCTCCCGTCGATTCCCCTTGCGCTGCTCGTTGAGGTGGTGTACTGGAGTTGACGCTAGAGCGATCAGCAGTCGATTTATTCCATCTATAGTAGACACGATAAATCGATCCCCGCTGGATCGATCGCTGCCCGTCGATCCGGCCAGTAGTATAGACAAGCCCTCAATCTCTGACCTGAGACTTAACTGAATAATGAAGTTTGAAAACTCTCAGTTTCCAGTTTTGCTGCTCCTTCACTTCCACCCTGGGCAAAAGGCTGAGGTCCCCAGACATGTGCCTCTTCTCTCCCAGTAAGGACAGACTCTGATGAAATGGCAGATGTCTCACCCTCTTTTCCTCTGCCTAGGAAACTTCTTGGCCCAGACTCCTCTGACATCTTTAAATCAGAGATCTTCACACACCCCTTTCCTGCACAACGGGGACTGAACCTCAGAAGATTTTTGTCTATATTTCGAATCTATTGAAGTCCACAACATGTCAAAGCATTTTATAACCTTCCAAATCTAGAATTAAATGTTTAGATTATTAAATCCCATACTAGTACTGATTAATTTCTGTAAGACACTATTACATTTTTATAAAATGCCATTAGTTTCATCTGTATTATTATCATTATATTATAGTAGTACTGCAACCAGGCTGGGCCCTAGAACTTTTCCAGAAGACCCTGGCATGAGAAATGTAATAACAGAACCTTCCAAGTAAAAATCTCGAGGTAAGAGAAGAGGGTGCTAGTACTTACTGAGGTTACTAAATGAAAAACAAGCCTGAAATTCAACAGTCTAAGTGCTAAGGCTGGTCATTTCATCCTAAAGCAAGAAAAATGTACTCTTGAAAGTTCTCCTGGCTTCCCTTCTTCTTGATTAAAAATGCCAGACCACCACATAAGGCTACTAGAATTACTTTTTAGGTTGCTGAGTTCAGGACAAAACAAAATTATTATTCACTTTGGTCACCATTATATGTCATCAAAGTTAGTAAAAATGCAATGTCCCAAAATAAGTTGAAGGAGCAAAAATATGAGCATTAATACTTCAGTATAATACAGACAGACGGACAGAGGTGTTTAGTGTCACAAATTTTGTTTAAACAGCTTTTGTGTGCTCAAAGTGTACTTTAAAAAATCCCTCTGAGCATTTTAAAATACTCAGGTGTCCCAATATGCATTTTTACCATTTCAAATGCTAAGAGGGGAACATAACAAAGACGGACAAATATACTCTTAGGAATAGTGGAACGTTAAAAACTGATGGAGGCCAGAGAAGCTCATTATTCAATTTACATAATTCAGTTCAATTTTAATCTTAGATTTGAGACCCACAAAACCTGTTCAAATATTCCTGGAGCTTTAGAATGGATATGACTGTATAATTAGTATCTTTGAAAAAATACATTTTATTACAGAAATTATGAGTAAGATAGGCTTTGAAAAGAGAGGCCTACTGCTTCAACATTTTTGCCACGATCTCAAAAATTCATACCAACAGCCAATGAATTATGTGTTTGAACCAGTTATTTTTTGTGTGCCTGTTTTAGATTATTATAAAATTCTCAAGGGAGAGATCATATGCACTTATGCATTTATACAGCTCCAAGCACACAGCTGATGTTTACCTAATGAGTCCATATGTTAATAAAATGATAACCAGAGATACAAGGACTGATTCTGATTTCACACCAGTTTTACATGGACTTCAATATAGTTACTACTCCTCATTGACTCTGATATAGGTCAATTCAGAATCAAGTCTTCAGTCTGTCTTTCCAAAGTGATGGTTATTAAAAGAATCTACCTGCTAGCACCACCAGTCTGGTCTTCACCTTGCTTGCTAGTGGGAAAGACATGTCATGTTTCCTAATGCCCAAAGTTACAAAGCAAGATCGTTAAGAGATGCACTTACTCGATGCTGTGCGTTTCACACTTGACGCTGATTCAGATTTCTTCTGTTGGTTGTTTAAAATTCTTCCTTTTCCCAAGATCCCATTTGCAGTTGCAGGGCTTTTTTTGCCCTTAAACTGTTTGAAAACAAAATATTTATGCAATGGTAACTATTGTTGTACAGCTGGTGCCATAGTAACACTTTCACCAAGAGCAAAGCTTGAAAGAGTTGTTTAAAACTGCCTGCCTTCCAGGAGGCTGTTCATATGCTTAATTGATTCTGTTGGAAACAGTGCATCCTTTAGAGACTGTATCATTGTGAATTGCCTATTCAGTAAGATTAGAGGCTGGCAGTCACTGGGAATTATGAGATTCTCCCTCTCTTCCTCTTCCATCTGTGACGGCATCACTGTTGCTAATTTGTTCAATTTTTATTTTAATTAAAACTGGCACATTTTAAGAATGATGCTCTAATGGAGCTAACTAGTCCTTTGTAACAATTTTCTATTGCAAAGCCCTTTAAAAATATAGTAGGGATGCACATTATTTTCATACCCATCACAAGAAGCTGTAGAACCTTCAGCCTTGCCCACTCACAGTGAGGTACAATTTTAAACTGTTGCTTATGTATTACAGGTCCTCCTTAGGTGCATTTCCTAGGAATTGCATTGCTATAGTACATGGATGCCATTTCCAAATTAAATAATTAAAACCACACAACTTCATCCACAAGGAGTTAATCAACTGATTCTCTCCTAGGGTACCTCCAACAAAGCAAACTCACTGAAAAAGGCAAAATTAAGGTGTTTTTATTACCACACCCTTAAAGTGGCTAGACACAAGCTCTAGCTAACTACTAGACAAGATAAGAATATGTCACAGCCCCGGAGAACGCTCTGCTGCCAGCCTCTAGGAATGAAACCACACAGACAGACAACAAGAGCCAGCAGCGGCTCCAGGCACCAGCGCTCCAAGCACGTGCTTGGGGCGGCAAGCCGCAGGGGGCACCCTGCCGGTCCCTGCAAGGGCGGCAGCCTTCGGCGGCTTGCCTGCAGGAGGTCCGCCGGTCCCGTGGATTGGGACCTGAAGCTGCGGGACCGGCGGACCTCCCGCAGACATGCTGCCGAATCCGCGGGACCGTGGACCTCCCACAGGCACGCCGCCGAAGGCAGCCTGCTTGCCGTGCTTGGGGCGGCAAAAAAGCTAGAGCCGCCCCTGACAAGAGCATTCTGGCCAATGACAAGTTCTGCAAAGTGCAATAGGATAGCCAAGTCATAGGGCAGTTAGGGCTTTTGAGATGATAATCAGCACCTTGGACTGTACCCAAAATAGGAACTAGAGCCAGTGCAGAGCACAGAACATAGTATTATGACATGGCAGTGGCCTGCCCTGTTTCAATGGTGGTTGCTATATTCTGGACTAACTGAACCTTCCACGCAGTGTTAAAGGGCAGTCCCAAGTAGAATACATTGTTGCACTCTATCCGGGTGATGACAAAGCTATGGATAATCATGGCACTGGTCCCATCCGAAAGAAAAGACTGAAACTGAACCCCCTGCAAGATGTAGTGATAGGGATGAAATTAACTTGTGCATCCTGGGTACAAAGGAATATAATCAGAGCCCAGTTCACATTTAGTAACTGTTTGTAAATGTGGGCTTTTAATAGCAACTACTGGACATTTATAGTAGGATATAGAAACAGTACAGTTGTGAGCTGTACCAGATAATTTCGCTGAATGGTATGCAAAGACATAGTCCCTGTCTCTTCACAGAACATTTTCTTCATGCCATACTATAGAATATTTCCTTATGTGGTCAAGTTCCTAATTTCGTATTTATTGCTACTCCTTGTCGCAACCTGAGCACCAGGTTGCAAATAGAATCCGACAAGCAAGTTATTTATGGTTCGTTTCTGTCATCCTCACTCAGGCTGAGTAGCTCCTTAACCGACCAAGAAGCCCCACTGAATTCAACAGGGCCATGCCCAGCGTAAGATACTGTACTTGAAGGGAGTAAGGGTGGCAGAATCTGGCACTTAATTACTGGAGAGCAGTTTGCAATACTGGCTAGCTGCCAGGAGAGCATGTGGGTTTCCTGTTGCAGGTGTGCATGACTGAACACAGGGTCAGAATTATCCTTTTCTTTCTCACTTGTTTTTTCCATTAAAGAAAACTGACGTACATTTTATGCTGCTTCTGTCATTTTATCCGACTCTTGAAACATTATCTAATTTTTCAGAGCAGTATTGCAGAATAATTAATTACAAGACACTCAGTCAAAATAGCAGCTTCTTCACTAGACATGCAAACTGACTGGCTAAACCAAGGTCATAGTACTAAAAACATCCCTATAATTTTCTTTTAACTGGTCAGCTAGATGAGGTCTACACTAGAAATTTTTGATGGCATAGCAATGTTGGTTAGGGACATGATTTCATTTGCAACCTTTCTAAATTGGTAAAAGCCCCAATTATAAAGGCAAAAAAAGTCCTTTTTCCAGTGTATTTTGCAACAACACACTTTTGCCAGCATAAACTGAGTCTACAGTAGGAGTGTTTCCCATTATAGCTGTTCTGGTAAACCCTTTCTAATGTAGTCTAGGCCCAGGTATTCCTAAAATGACTGAATAGGGATTTGTGAACCTTAGAGTGAAATTCACCCTTATACCAAAGGCTGGCAAAAGATCTAGACAAGTGCCACTTAAACTATCTTTTGAACTCTATTTTGAAGGCTTAAGTGTGACCTAAATGGTGCATAGCTTTTGTACTGACCCTCTGCAAAGGGGTGAATGTCTTTACTACTTATTAAATAAAGGATTCAACTGCTCTATAAAAGGTAGAGAATTGGCCTCCCTGCACATACAAACAGCATGAATGTAGGAAGCTTGGATCTAAAAGTCAAGTATAATTTTTTTAAATTAGAAAGAGAAAAATATGGTTTTGGTTGAAGCATACAGTGATGCTTATATTATTTCAAACACTTTCCCCTTTGCAATACAATGAATAAAGGTTCTCTGTTAAATCTTTTATATCTAAAAGCCACTGCATGTGATTCTTGTACAAAGGTTCATTTGTTCACACACCTGTACCCGCACATATGTTCCTTACAGTACATATTCTGTTTATTTGTTTCTAGATGCTTTTGAAATATACCAATAATAAAGTCTGAACTGGTGGTGCAGAGAGTAACCTACTACTGCACTCTATTTTAATCCGAGAAACGATGGGCCTAAACCAACAACCCTGAACTTTGCTGCTCGGGCCCATCTCTGGTTCTAACATTAGATTCGTAGCTTTGTATGCATAATTAGACCAAACTAATGGTCAGGTAAGTAATACATATTATTTCAGATGCATCAAACAAGTAAAAGACTACCTTCATTTTACTAGTCTCTTTAAATTAGGCTAATAACCTGATTGAGAATTGCATGCATTGTCCTTCGCAATGGATTCAGATATGGTAACATAACTTATGACTGTGAACAGGGAATCTTAGATTTCTCCAGGGAAGAAAGCAACAGGGCAGACAGTTAAATGTAGTTGCACTGTATGTTTCAGTAAACTAGTACCACACTTAATACTAAAATGCCAAGTATTTTATCTAATAAAAACAAATCATTTAGGGGGCCAAAGTTTCAAAGGATGGTGCACAGAAATATGCACATGCAACTGTTGCACATTCTAGCCCCTGAAATATTTATATGTAATATTTTCTGTTACAGTGGCAAGCTGTGCTGAAACCCCCAATAGGAAATATGCTGAAGCCAACTTAAAACCAGAGGAAGGCCTGCCGTTATATGGCTAAATTTTGTTTAAAGTTATGCCTATTGATTGTCTTGGCTCTAGGTACAGCACCAAGAACATGCTAAGCAGACATTTGATGGACAAACAGGAAGACAGCACCTCTAGTTCAGAATTTACAATCTAGGTGAAACTCTTTTACTTGTAGTGGGCCCATTTAAGTTGCAAGCATTCTAGTGTTAAAACCAGGCCAGTGAAATAGTCCCAGATACAAACAGAATTGTGGTAAAAGGCTTTGTTACAGTATTAAACATTGTAGTACCTGAGAGCCAGATCCCCTCCCCACAGCAGAGGTGTTAGTGACAGACTGAGCAGAGGACAGATTGGATGAGACAGGGCTTTTGTAATGGTTAGAAGAGAGTTTGTCAGTAGATAACCTATTGGCTTTTCTGTCAGCAGGTGGATAGCGTGCAAAGATTTTCGGAGACGGCAAGTTATCGTACAGGCCTGCGTTATCATAAAGCACTTCTTCTCCCATGTTTCTGCTACGAGAAGTAGGAAAGCCATCTTCAAGTTCCCACTGCAACACACACACTTTTGCTGTTAGTAAACAAAACATCATGCAGAACCTATGCAAAATTAAAGCATAAGCAGGTTATTTAGAATCATTAAAACCGTTTGAGTTTAGCAAGATTTTCCTGACATTTGAGTCAAACCGGTCTAGAAAGACATGGGTAGCTATGGCATGTTCGGATGACTGGGGAAAAGAGAGGATTGTGTTACCTATTTCATAACCTGAATTTTCTTGTTTTTTCTGTTAAGCAGAGAAAAAGGGACTGTGATGTTACGCCTTATACTATTACTTGATTATTATTATTACTTTCCATTTAGTAATTCTGAGAAAGAAGGTGCTACAGTGCAGATGTTGATAATTACTTCCTTGTATAAGATAGGACACTAGAGGGGTACTCCTGGGTAACGTAGATGAATCTTCAGGAAAATCTCTAGGACATTATTTTGCTAAACCTGGCTTGGTAGTACAGATTTTCAGACCTGGCAACTATCAAAAGCTGTGAGGTTTTTCTTGAGGCCATGTGTCTTTTCAGGACTATCAGCTGCTTGTGCACTAGCATTGTATTTTATTTGTTGGGAAAGTATTACTTAGCTAAATAAATATCTAAAATAGCTCCAAGCCATTTCCTCTTTCCATAAAAATGGAAAACTCAATAACACTCATCCAGTGATTCATTCATTTAATCTTAAAAGAAGCCGTGGGTCTGCATGCCCAAGATCCTTCCTTAATCCACCCTGTCTGCATGAGTGCCCTCCTCAGATACAGTCCCAAGCACACCCAAAAACTACACCTGCATCCCACTCACCAAACACTTCGGTGTATCCTACTCCCCTACTCCTCTGACATGTCATGACATGAGAGAAGATTGCACTTGTTTGTGACAGCTTATGCCTTGAATTTCTGTACATTTCTCTCAATTTTCAGCCTAAGGTCTCAAATCTGCCCTTAAGGCCTAGTCTTCACTTACCGGCCGGTCCGGCGGCACGCCATCGATGTTCTGGGATCGATCCCGGAAGTGCTCACAGTTGGCGCCAGTACTCCAGCTCGCCGAGAGGAGTACGCGGCGTCGACGGGGGGAGACTTCCGGCCGCGTCTGGACCGCGGTAAGTTCGGACTAAGGTACTTCGAATTCAGCTACATTATTAACGTAGCTGAATTTGCGTACCTTAGTCCGAAGTCCGGACTAAGTGGGGACCAGGCCTAAGACAACGCCCAAATTAGGAACTATGCTGAGCTGCAGCACCCCCAAACAAATGTTTAGAGACCACGTGCCACTGTGTGCAAATATGCACTCTCCCCCCCACACACATACACTCCTACACAGGACCAGCTCTGCAGGCTAATTCAGAGGGTGGGGTGGGATCACGGCCTTGCCCTCAGCCTGCTCTCTTTGGGATGAATAGCACAACTGTCAGTGGAAGCCCCGCCTTGGAGATGGATAGCCCCACCGTCAGCTGTTCCCTGGGTAGTGCCATATTCCTGCAAGGGAGCACAGAGTGAGGTCTGACGGCTTGTTGCACTTTCTTCACAACTTACAACACCCAACACAGGGCCAGGCACAATCAAGCCCTGAGTTTTGCCTTGGTCTAATGAATGTTTCTTTTAAATTCAAGGATTTTATTAATGGATTTGGCACAAACTGATCAACAGGCAGCTGTTTGTATAAATATATGCTGGCTCATGAACAAGTTAATTTAAACAATATGTCCCACTCCCCCAAAAGTCTCCAGATGAGGGAGAGGTTTTGTGGTTCCTGATTATAAAGAGTAGAAAACTTGAGTTCATTTGGAATCTGCCCAATAGCGCTCAATGAGGTAATACAGTTTTCAGGTGTCCTTGTGTTCAACACATATAAGCCATTTGCACTGTAAAAATTAAATTCTTACCGATCCATTTATGCAGGGAACATCATCATAATGAAGTGCCATTCCACTGGGACATGCGTAGCCATTGGCAGTGCTTCCCCGATATGGATTAGTAGATATAACACGTCTGTTCATAAAACTATGTAAAACAAAAAACACCACTTGATGCTTAGTCTTCATGATGATTCAATGGTGCTACACCCACATTTGATTATCTGCCCGTTCTGGAAGCACATAGCTTTTCTCTTTGTATTAAAGCTATAGATAGTTTTCCTCCTTCTGCAACCTCCATGAAAGAAAAATAAAGCTCTGTATTTTACTCAGATCTGGCTGCTAACATCCAATATCGCAACATATGTTTCTGTACCATAATCATAAGAGAAAGTGTAGGACTGTGTGAAAGCCAGGATGGAAACAGCTATAGCTGTTCTATCGTGTTACATGTGAATCTGCTGATAGAAACCAATTTGCCAGACCTCAATAAAAATTTCCGCCTTGTCTTTATAGGATAGAATGAGGAAGGTGTGCATGCACAGTTGGGGGGGGGGGGGTTGGGGGGAAGGAGGGGGAGGGGAAGTGACCCAAGACTTTACTACAATCATTTTAGGAACTGGAGCAAACCAAGGTCCAAATCCTGCAAAATGCTGTGTGTGGGGAACCGTGAGCTGATCAAAATTTTTCAAAATGATTTTTTCTTCCGGCAAAAGACAGCATATATTAGAAAACCAACATTTTTGTGACAACTTTTAGGTTCCAATCCCTTTTTTCAGTTATATGAAAACTTTTCTTAGAATCTTTTGAAATGGTTTGTGCATGTTTTCAAATTATTTTTATTTTTGGTTTGCTGCTGTGTAACTTTTGATTGGGGACCGATTGTGACATGTTGTCATGTTCTCCGGACTCCTTGCCTGGATGAGCATGCGCTCCAACTGTCTCTCACACAGGCATGTGAAAACTCTGAAATTGAAACTTTTTTTATAGTTTTGAATGGTTTTAATTTAAAAAAAAGGAACAATTTTGATCCAGCTCTTGTGGGATCCTCACTGACTTCAGTGAGGTTCCTTGTGGTAACAAAGGTCTATCCATGTGGAGCAACTTGCAGATTTGGGCCCCAAGTAGCAATACATAAGAGTTACCTACCTTTCGTAACTGTTGTTCTTCGAGCTGTGTTGCTCATGTCCATTCCATGCTAGGTGTGTGCGTGCCCACGTGCATAGTTGTCGGAGAGTTTTGCCTTAGCGGTATCCATAGGGTCGACTGTGGCACCCCTTTGACTGCCGCGCTCATGCAGCGGAATATCAGGTGCCACCACCCTATGCCTCTCGGTTTCTTCTTGCTGGCAATTCCAACAGAGGGGCAGGAAGGCGGATAATGGAATGGACATGAGCAACACATCTTGAAAAACAACAGTTACAAAAGGTAGGTAACCGCTTTTTCTTCTTCGAGTGCTTGCTCATGTCGATTCCATTCTAGGTGACTCACAAGCAGTATCCCTGGAGGTGGGCTGGACGTTTACAGACGTGCGGCTTGTAATACCGTTCTACTGAAGCCAGCGTTGTCTCCGGTTTGGTGGGTAAGCGCAGAGTGAGACATGAATATATGAATGGATGACCAGGTGGCGGCCCTGCAGATATCAGGAATTGACACATGGGCCAGGAAGGGCACCGCCAAAGTTTGCGCTCTAGTTGAGTGGGCGTTTACAATCGCTGGTGGAGGACCTTCGCCTGATCATAGCAAAAATGGATGCAGGCAGTGATCCAAGATGAGATTCTCTGGGTGGACACTGGACAACCTTTCATCATATCTGCCACTGTGATGAACAATTGTGTCGACTTGCGAAATGGCTCAGTCCTCTCAATGTAGAAGGCTAGCGCTCTCCTGACGTCCAGGGAGTGCAACCTATGGTTTTCCTCAGACTTATGAGGCTTTGGGAAGAAGACTGACAAAAATATGTCCCGGCTTGTGTGAAATTGCAAAACCACCTTGGGCAGGAAAGCCGGATGCAGCCGCAGCTGGACCTTGTCCTTTAAGAAAACTGCATAGGGCAGCTCTGAGGTAAGTGCCCTAATCTCGGAGACACTGTGGGCAGAAGTTATCACCACCAGGAATGACACCTTCCAGGAGAGCAGAAGAGGGGAACAGGACGCCAAGGGCTTGAAGCAAGCTTTCATGAGCCACGCGAGCACCAGATTCAGGTCCCACAGAGGGACTGGGTCCCAGACCTGGGGTTAGAGTCGCTACAGATCTTTCAAGAACCGGACTGTTATAAGTGAAGACCAACCTGCCCTGGGAAGAGGATGAAAGGCTGATATGGTGGCCAAGTGGATCTTAATTGATGAAAGGGACAAGCCTTGGAGCTTGAGATGCATAAGGTACTCCAAGAAGGACTGCAGGCCTGCTTGGGCCTAACCCCTTGGGCCGAGGCCCAACACGAGAATCGTCTCTATTTGGCCTGGTAGGTCTCCCTAGTGGACAGCTTTCTACTAACCAGTGGGACCTGCAGGACGCAGGCTGAGCACTCCTGCTCGTCAGCAGTTAACCATGCAGCAACCAAGCTGTTGGGTGCAGCACTGCCAGGTTCAGGTGCAGCAGCCTGCTGTGATTCTGGGACAAGAGATCCAGTCAGAGGGGCAGCTGCATCGGGGTCGTCACCGACAGGTCCATTAGTGTACTGAACCAGTGTTGGCGTGGCCAAGCCGGGGCTATCAGGATAACTTTAGCCTTGTCCTGCTTGATCTTCATGAGGACTCTGTGAAGCAATGGCATTGGTGGGAAAGCATACAGAGCCTCCGACCATAGAAGTAGGAAGGTGTCCGACAAGGAGTCCCTGTCGACCCCCCAAAACGAGCAAACAGGTGACATTTCCTGTTCTGGTGAGTCACGAACAAGTCCACCTGGGGAGATCCCCACTTTCGGAAGATCCCATTGACCACCTCGGGGTGGAGTGACCATTCATGATGAGATGAGAAGGCTCTGCTGAGGCGATCTGGCAATATGTTCCTGGTTCAGGGAGGTGCGCTGCCATGAGATGAGTGGCATGCTGCACACAGAAATCCCAGAGCTGGAGGGCTTCCTGGCAGAGGGCTGATGACCTGGCTCTGCCCTGCTTGTTGATATAAAACATTGTGGTGCTGTTGTCCGTCAGGACTTGAATGACTTTGCTTTGCAAACTGCCCTGAGATACCTGACATTTATGTGGAGGAAGTGGCTGACCCCCCGACCAGCAGCCTTGTATACTGAGCTCGCCCAGGTGGGCTCCCCAGCCCAGGTCTGGGGTGTTGGAAACCAGAGTTAGTGTCTGATTGCTCCGCCATCTCTTCTGCCTTTAGGCCTAAGTTAGTGGCTACCCTTTGGATCAGGGCTTGGTGCTCCTTAAAGTCATCTGGTGGGCTAGCACAGGAGGGCCCCACCACAGCCTTGTCTGGAGGGGAGGAGGAAGAAGAAGGAACCGCTGGAGGGTGGGGGGCCCAGGGCATCATCCCCCGCAAGGGAAAGGGGGTCTCAGGGTGGGCACCTGTCCCTCCACCTCAGTGTCTACTAGCGCTTCGTGCACTAAGCCCAGTGCCAATTGGAACTTGTCCGATGTGTCGACTGATGATTGGTGAGATGGGGGCATCGGCATAACCGGCACGCCCCAGGCATTCCAATAAGGCCATTGTCCTGGCAGCAGGGCCAGAGCAGCATTGCTGAGGTGGATGCAACCTCAGGAGCCCACTCACAACGGTGCTGTCTCGGCGAGGGGTTGAATTCCCTCTCTGTGCTCGAGGAATCCTCCTCCGGTGACCAGGGCCTGAGTCTGGCAGCTAACCGTTGCCATGGGTGACCAGTGCCTCAAGTACACAGACCGGTGCAGGGAGTAGTGGGAGCGGCACGGTGTTGGGGAGCATCCGCGTGGTCTAGGTGACGGTGATCGCCGGTGTGGAGAGAGTCAGCGCAAAGCTGACCACTTCCAACTATATAGCGACCGGCACTTCCCTCTGGGTGAGTCTCGACATGAAGCTGGAGACTGTGTCGGACATCTGTGGCAGCAAACTGGTGAAGTGGGCTGATGCAGAGACCAGGGGCGTGGCGACAAAGGGCTCTGCCTCGGCTCCGGAGATCAGCGGCATTCACTTGCCTTCTGGGAGGCTTTCATGGCTGGTTTGCCCTCGTAGGGAGCCTTTGCTGGATCCATCACCACACGTGGTGCTGGCTACAGTGGGAGAGTCCTTTGCTCTCTCGGCACCAGGACCTGGGAAGGTGTTGACTCTGCCATCAGTCCGGGTCCACTACTGCTCCCTGGAGTCAGATCCCATAGGGGGGTAGGAGGTCCCCTCGGGGACATGCTCCCTTGCGCCTCCGGTGTGGGCAGGTGGCCCAAACAGGGTCCTTTACCCAATGCCCCTTGTTCCGTCTTGCTTGGTGCTGGGTCCCGCTTCTTAGACATCTTCTTGGGCACCAGCAAAGGGGATCAGTGCTGGGCAGAGCCCAGTGCTGGAGGTGCTCTACACACCGAAGCCAAAATGCTGGGCATTGCATGTGACTGGGCCGGTTCCGAGGCTGGGCGAAGGGCAGCCTCCAGGAGGAGGGCCCTCACATGATTGTTGTGCTCTTTTTGTGTCCTAGGACAAAAGTTCTTACAGATGCAACACTTTTCTTTAACCTGGGATTCCCGCAGGCACTTCAGACAGCTGCCAGGCAGGTCACTAACAGGCATAGGGCTATTACAGTCAGTGTAGGGCTTAAAACCCAGTGACCGGGGCATGCCCCGCCTGGGGCAAAGTCCCCACCAGGACTGTAACTGACTAACTACCGTACTTAACAGCTACTTACTAACTAATCTACAATAAACAAAACTATTTACAGATGGAACACAAAGTCAAAAGGGAAAGAACCGCTGATCACTTGTGAGGCAAGGGAGCGAGGCGCTCCGAGCAACCACCACAGCTGTAGGAGGAAGGAACTGAGCGGACGTAGGGCAGGCGGCGCCTGATATACCAACGCATGAGCGCGGCACTCAAGGGGGTGCCACAGCTAACCCTACGGATACCGCTAAGGGAAAAGTCTCTGACAACTGTGCACATGGGTGCGCACACAAATAAAATGGAATCGACATGAGCAAGCACTCGAAGAAGAACTATGATTCAGAGAGGAAGTTGCTTTCACAAACAGCCCTTGAAACAAAGCCAGTAACACGAGACCCCAAAGATCCTTAAGATTCAAGTACATAAAAAGAGATAAGAAGGAAAACAAAGATTCGCAACAGAACTATTCAATTTCTGAAGTTGACATTAATAAATTACAATAAAATCATGCCGTAAGGTAGATGGGTCTTTTGTTTCTCCATAGGGGTCATAAATAATGTGGGAAAAGCCTGCCAAACATGTTATATTTTATTCCAATTGTGTAGAATGAGGAACAATGTTTTCTGCAGATAGATTTTAATAATATTAACTAATCATTGTCAGCATTTAGAGCCTGGTCCTGTAAGGTACTAAGTATTCTCAACTCCCACTTAATTCAACAGGAAGTTGAAAGCCTTCAATACATTTCAGGATCTGATCCTCAGGAGAATGAACATACTGCAAATGTCACATCAAGCTGTAAAATAACTGAGAAAATAACTAGTGCCATACTGTATGTTTTGAAGTATTACACTGCTCACAGTCTTTGATTATAATCAGAAGCTATTACACATTGCTTTTGAAAATATAAACCTGGTATCTCTCTATAAATCAAATGCCAGATTAGAGAATTAATGTGCACAATCTGGCCGAGGTCCTGATCCAGCAAAAACTTAAGTAACTGAGCAGTTTTATAAAGAGGAATAGTCCAATCGAACTCCATGTGTGTAGTTACTGGCATGTGTAAGTATTTACAGAATCAGGTCTTGCCTTTGTAAGTAGTTTTCCACTGTCATCTGACTATAGACACTCCCCCCCCGCCAATGAATCCTTCAACCTGAAATTTATCATGTCTTCTTCCACAGGAGCATTTTTAAAAAATATATTAGGATTAACTGGACAAGATGATCATGAGATGAGAGTTTGCAGGGGAAAAAAAATTGTAATTCACCATTGTAAAAATGCTCCTAACTGTATCATAGCTCTAAAAACGAAAGTGTTGTCAAGAAACTCCAACATTTTTTTCTGCTGTCCTTAATGAGAAACACTACCCAAATATTTCCAGACTAGATTTAGAAATATAGCCACCCCCTGCCCCAAATATGGTAGTATCTAAGTATAAGACAAGAAGGGACGGGAGGAGTGCAAGGAAACAATGAGATGATGCTAGTCAAACATGATAGGCAGTGGTCTCAACACACCAGCAGTCTAACTGTTGTCAAATGTATTGTAGGCATCACAGCAAAAGAGTTTTGAAGGTAACTTTATGGATGTTTATGGGGAGCTCCTCCCAAGCACAAGGGGCAGCATGGGATAAAGCAGAAAGGTACTTGTTTGAAAATGTAACAAGTGATAGAGTCTGGCATCATGGGTCGACTGGAGGCGAGAGTTGACATCTTGATAGCAAAGGAGAGATGATAGGCAGGATTGGATAGGCCACAAAGAGCCTGGAAAGTGAAGACACACAGCTTATGTTTGATGTGATAGAGAAGGGGGGAAAACAGTGGAGGGATGCAAAGAGAGGGGTGATATGATCAAATGGGCCCTGGTCCACGACTGGAGCTCCCAGGTGCTATGATAATACAAAACAAAAACAATGATAGGGTAGAAAAGTGATCTTTCAGGAGCATTCTGAATGGATATGAATGAGGCAAAACTGCATTACTTGAGGCTAGAGAGAAAGATGTTGTAGTAACTGAGATGCGAGAGTTTTTGCTATGTGGATGGATAAGAAAGGCCATGTCATTTCTCATTTCCCCTTCTAATTTTACAAGAATAATTGGATCAGAAGTTAAAAGAGACATGCCCTAGGTTGCTTGCAGATAAGCTCTTACATTCACTTTATTGTGGTATGACAAATTTAAACAAATACTTGATAGGGAATTTTTATGACTTTGCAAGTTAGGTTTGGCATTCCTTTCTAATATGTGGTCGAGTTGCACTTATTTTTTTCACTTGGTTTCAATTAATATCACATTTGTTCATAAAATGAAAGCCAAGCAGTATTCAGGCAAAAACATTTCCATCCGGCTTCTCTTTTACATGTGGTTAATCACTGGATGCTGATGGAAGTGAAAAATGCGTGTCACAGGAAAAGCTTTTTTGAGCCCTATTAACTTCAAAACATATATAAGCACAAGCGTCTAAATTAACTGCATTATGACTCTATCAAAATTACTTGGATTTGACAAAAATAGGATTGTGGTAAGAGATGAATCAACCCTGATTTCTATCAAAAGCCATTCAAACTAGAGCATGAATGAAGTGTCTCATTCTTCCGCACTGCAGCCCTCCTGACCCTTCACTGGTGAGAGTACAGTTTTTCCAACAGAAAGCTAGACTAGGTTTTCACCCTTTATGTATTTTTAGTCTATTCCTATTTATGATGGCTATATTGAGCTTGATTCTACGAAGTGCTGAATCCCGGTAATTTCAATGGGAGTTGAGGGCACTCAGCACCTTACAGGATCATGTTTATAAAGTCCTAGTAAACCGTCTGGCCAAGATATCTTCTATCCACACTTTGCTGTCATGAGGCATATACTAACAAAATCTGCATTGTGAATTGAATTCATGTATTGGTGTGAATTTCACAACCGTGAGTTTTTAACCTTCAGCAAGGAACAACTGGATGTAGTGGGTCTATGAGAAAGACAAGGTGGGTCTTTTATTGGACCAAATTCTGTTGGTGAAGGAAACAAGCTTTTGAGCTACACAGAGCTCTTCTTCAGGTCTGGGAAAGGTAATCAGAGTACCACAGCTAAATACAAGGTGGGAGAGATTGTAGAATCATAGCACTGGGAGGGATCTCGAGAGGTCATCTAGTCGAGTCCCCTGCACTCATGGCAGGACTTAGTATTATCTAGACAAGAGGTTCTCAAACTGTGGTCCGCGGACCACCAGTGGTCCGTGAGCTCCATTCAGGTGGTCCGCAGATAGTTCCATCTAAGATGAGCGCCTGGGCGGCCACAGACGAGAGAATGAAGGGCCACTCACCTAATTAGTGGAGCCATGCAGGTGTGGCTCCACTAATTAGGTGCCTGGACCCTGGAGAAGACACACATGTAAGTTGAGGTGGTGGCCTTGGGGGGGATAGGGGGTAGGTGGGAGGGGGCAGTGGGGTGAGAAGAGGGGGTGGGGGGAATATGGGACGTGCAGGGCTTCAGCGGCCAGAGAACGAGGCGACTTTCCACAGCTCCAGGGTTGTGGCTGCCGGGGAGAGACGGCCCACCTTCCCAGCTCCAACTCAGAGGCTGCTGTGGCGGGGGAGAGACCCCCTCTTTCCCAGCCCCAGCTCAGGGGCTGCTGTGGCGGGGGAGAGAGGGCACATCCATCACATTAGAAAGGTAAGACTACTGATATTAAAATGTGAGTTGTGTGCTTTTATTTGTAGAACAAAAAAAACGTTAATTATTATTAAGGTTTTTTTTTTTTAATATAGCACTTTTATCCAAAGCACTTCACAACAGTTAGCTAATGGTACAAACAACATTTGGAAAAAAGAACAAGGAGTACTTGTGGCACCTTAGAGATTAAATTTATTTAGGCATAAGCTTTCGTGGGCTAAAACCCACTTCATCGGATGTATGCAATGGAAAATATAGTAGGAAGATATATATACACAAAGAACATGAAAAAACGGGTGTTGCCATACCAACTCTAATGAGTCTAATCAATTAAGGTGGACTATTATCAGCAGGAGGAAAAAAAACATTTGTAGTGATAATCAGGATGGCCCATTTCAAACACTGTGAAACATTTGGAAAAATCATTAAGTGGTCCGCTGAGACCCTCAGCAATTTTCAAGTGGTCCGCGGAAAAAAAACGTTTTAAGAACCACTGATCTCTAGACCATCCCTGACGGGTGTTTGTCTAACCTGCTCTTAAAAACTTCAGTGATGGAGATTCCACAATCTCCCTGGGCAATTTATAACAGTGCTTAATCACCCTGACCAGTTAGTTTAAGGGTAAACACATGTTGCAAGAGACCATTTAAGGTGAAGTGGGCAATTCACACCTCTGCAGTCACAGGACAAAGGAGGGTTAGTGGGTTACAGGTTGTTGTAATGACACATAAAACCAGTATTTCTGCTGAGTACTGAGGGCTAAACCAATTCTGTGAATTTACATTAGTTCTGTTAAAACTTGGAAAGTGAATATAACCAGCGTAAACTATTGTGACTGAATTGTGACCAAGCTTCAACTTATTTGATCATTTAAAGCTTTAGGGCTGCCAGAAAGAAGGGGTTAAAATAGCACCTAATTACTAGATTCCTCTTACACTATAAGTGTGAGAGTTGAATACATCATAAAAGTGGACATATTCTGCCTCTCTTGTAATACTTAGCCGGATGCCAGCAAGATAATCTTAAACACATCTCGAATGCTTAAGTCAAGATTTCAATCCCTCAAGAATTTAATATCTTGGCAAAAAAGGGAAGGTTTGATAAGGTCTCTTGATATTAGAACTAACATAAAGCTGCAAATTCTGAAATTACTGAAAACGCCCTTAAATTGCTTTTAATGCATCTTACCAGAAGGTCTGTTTTGCAGCTTGTATGACGCTTGCAGTCATCTCCACATCAATATAATCATAGTGCAGGGCTCCAGGATCTGTAGATGAACCGGTTTCAGACAGTAAAATCCCAATCCATCTGCCCATGTCTTCAGATGATGAAGCCTATGATGATCAGAAGATCTTATATAAACTCATAAATTATTACTGAAACAACAGGCTTTTTAATATTAATTACTTCATAATTACGCTTTTATTTACTAACATGTTAATATAATGATGCACGTGAGGCTCTGGATGACCTTTGCCAAACTATGCTAACAAAAAGTAATATTCACTGCGGTTATTCTGCCATAACGAACACATTTAAAGCAACATGTTAATAGATTACGGAGTAAAGCAATACGAACAGTTCCAGCAAAAGAAGGAAAACAAATGCACGAAGCCAGTGTATCTAGGTATGCACCTTGCTTATTTTAGATTTCAGAAAGCTGAGACAAATGTTTTCCACTACAAGGCTAAGCTTTTAAGAAAGGTAATTTGTCCAAATTGTAAAGGCAGGATAATCTTGGACAAAGAAATACTAAAGCAGGTTGAAAAATGTTTTTTAGTTTTTGAAACTGAATGATTTTCAGTTTTTGAAAAATGTCATGCAATTTTATAGGCATTTCAATATTTATTTACTTAAAGTTTCTTTATTCAATGTAACAGACTCAAAGATTTTTTTCCTTTATCTCATTTCCTTACTGTAGTTCCTCTTCTTTATATTACACTTCATTCGTTTCCTGTTCTTGTAAATCGTCATCCAAATAACCTGTACTGGGCATATGTAGCATGACCCTTCTTCAAGGACAAGGCACTGATCTGATCTGCACTTAAGAAAACCTGAGTGTTCAAAGTATCCGACCAGAGACTGAAAATGAAAGTCTGCCTCCCACTAGTTTCCTTACAAATGCCACTACATGTTATCTTTATCTAAGGTGTCCAATTTTAACCAATAAAAAGTCAATAGAGCTACCCTGGAGCCACTTTTCATTGTTCGTTTGTTTTTAAATAAGCACTGAAAAGAACTTATTTTAGCTCATTTGAAATGTCCTATGCTGTTTTATTCTGACTTTTGGAGGGGGGGGGGGGCTGTTCCTACCCTTGGATTTGTTGCAAAGATATTAAATAATACAACTATGGAACTCTTTAGTGTAGTTTTCCATTTTATAGCTATTCCCTGTGTTAAGCAAGAGTGCATTCTCTCAAATTGGCTCAGTGGTTGTCAGTAGCTGTCTTCTCTTGGTCTTTGGACTCACAGAATCCAAGTCTAGAAGGGACCACTGTGGTCATCTAGTCTGACCTCCTACATAACACAGGTAACACAACTTCCCCAAAATAACTCCTACAGCATGTCTTTTAGAAAAACATCCAATCTTGATTTAAATATTGTCAGTGATGGAGAATCCACCATGACCCATGGCAAGTTGTTCCAATGGGGGTAATTACCCAGACCGCTAAAAAATTATGTCTTATTTCTTGTCTGAATTTGCCTTGCTTCAACTTCCAGCCATTGGATCATGTTACACCTTTCTCTGCTAGTCTGAAAAGCCCATGATTAAATCTTTGTTCCCCATGGAGTACTTATGGACTGTAATCAAGTCACCCCTTAACCTTCTCCTTGTTAAGCTAAGTAGATTGAGCTCTCTGAGTCAATCACTATAAGGCATTTTTTCTAACCCTTTAATCATTCTCGTGGCTCTTCTCTGAACACTCTCCAATTTATCACCATCCTTCTTGAACTGTGGACACCAGAACTCAACGCAGAATTCCAGCAGTGATCACACTCGTGCCAAATGCCAAGGTAAAATAACCTCTCTACTCCTACTTGAGATTCCCGTCAACGCATCCAAGGATTGTATTAGCGCTTTTGGCCAAAGCATCGCGCTGAGGGCTCATGTTCAGATGATTATCCAAAAGAACCCCCAAATCTTTTTCAGAGTTACTGCTTCCCAAGATAGACTCCCCGATCTTGTAACTATGACCTACATCCTTTGTTCCTAGATGTATGCATTTACCTTTAGCCATATTCAAAGTGCATATTGTTTGCTTGCGCCCAGCTCACCAAGTGATCCAGATAACTCTGTATCAGTGATCTGTCCTCTTCATTATTTACCACTCCACTAATTATTTTTTGTTATCTGTAAACTTTATCAGTGATGACTTCACGTTTTCTTCTAGGTCATTAATAAAAATGTTAAAAAGTATAGGGGCAAGAACCTATCTGTGCAGGACCTCTCTAAAAACACATTCATTCAATGATGATTCCCGTTTACATTTTGAGACCGATCAGTTAACCAGGTTTGAATCCTTTTAATGTGTGCTATATTAATTTTATATCTTTCTAGTTTTTTGATCAAAATGTCATGTATCTTACAGAAGTCTAAGGCTACATCTTCACTATGGGGGGTGGGGGGGTCGATTTAAGATACGCAAATTCAGCTACGCGAATAGCGACTTACCCCACTGTAGGGACGGCGGCAAAATCGACCTCTGCAGCTTCCCATCGATGGCGCTTACTCCCACCTCCGCTGGTGGAGTAAGAGCGTCGATTCAGGGATCGATTGTCGCGTCCCAACAGGACGCGATAAATCGATCCCCGAGAGGTCGATTTCTACCCGCCGATTCAGGCGGGTAGTGTAGACCCAACTTAAGTATATTACAACACTACTACCTTTATCAACCAAATTTTTAATCTCATCAAAAAAAGATAAGTTAGTTTGACAGGATCTATTTTCCATAAACCCGTGTTGAACAGCATTAATTACCCTCCATTAATAACCCTTATAATTCTTTATTAATAGAGTCCCGTATAAGAACTCCATTATCTTACCCAGGATTGATGTCAGACAGACAAACCTATTATTACCCAGGTCACCATGTTTACCCCTTTTTAAAAATTCGGCACATTCGCTTTTTTCCAGGCTTCTGGAACTTCCCCAGTGCCCCAAGAGTTATTGAAAATCAACATTAATGGTCTAGCGAGTTCCTTAGCCAAATCTTTTAAAACTCTTGGAGGCAAGTTATCCAGACCTGCTGATTTAAAAATGTCTAACTTTAGTAGCTGCTATTTAACATCCTCCTGAGAGGACTAAATGAATGAATGTGTCCCTTCCTCCCTCCAGTACAGAACAGAAATATTTATTGAACACTTCTGCTTTTTCTGCATTATTATGACCTTCTTCCTCAGTTGAAGTTTTTTGGGCCTCTTGTTAAATATTCTTAAACAATTCCCAACTATCATTTACATTTCTCTGATTAATTTCTTCTTCCCAGCTGATCTGGCCTTTAATTGTTTTCAGCTTTGTGAAACTGGTCCTTTTAAAGCACCAAGTACATCACTGGTCTAGACTTCATTCTGTTTGCACATTACAAATGTGATCAAGTGTTTATCACTTTTACTTAAGTTGCCACAAATTTTTAGTTCCTCTTTATCTGTCAAGATGAGGTGTGATATAGAATTCCCCAGGTTGGATGCAACACTTTTTAAGTTAGAAAATTGTCATCTATAGTATTTAGTAGTTTCAAGGATGTTTTAATACAGGCAGCATAAGACCTCCAGCATACATCACTCAAATTAAAGCCCCCAATGATTACATAGTTTTTTTTTCCCCCTTATGTTATGATAGGTGCATAAGGAGGCAGTCATCCTGTTCTCTAGTGTGATTTGGTGGTCTGTGGTAGACACCAACTAATACCCCATCTTGTGTTTTAGCTGTTAGGACACTGATCATTAAGCATTCAAGATAAATTTTTTTCTGAATTATCAGTGACTTGGAAACAGATAATGCCATTTTTGGCCTAGAGTGCCCCTTCCCCTCCCCTATTGAATCTTCCTTAACAGGTTATATCCCTTGATTTAACATCCCAGTCATGAGAATCTTCCCACCAGGTTTCAGTAATACCAACTTGATCAAATTTATGCTCATAAATGAACAATTCCAATTCCTCTTGGTTGTTACCCAGCCTCCTAGCATTGACGTATAGGCCATTAAAGAATTTCTTCTCTTCATGTCCTAACAACTAATTTTGTTCTCAACATCGCGATTGTGTCTTCCATCTTTTTAACCTCCCAGAGATCCTGGCAAGTTCTTGGGTAACCCCTGGTCCAGTTCCTTAGCCCTGTGGTCTGCATCTTGCTCTTCCACCTTATCATCCTGCTACTCAGCTGCAAGACAGGGAGCTTCTGTACTCTCCAGCATCGCATTAGACTCCAGGGAAGGATGGGTACCAAGTACTCTGTTTGGCTCCTTAGAAAAATTGACAGGTTTTTCTTCTTGCCTGGTTGGTATTATTAAGGATCTCGATCTTTTGCTACCATTGCCTGCCAGACCAAATAACTCCTTCCTCAGCAAGGTGCTCAGACACTTGGTTGTCCCAGAAGTCAGCAACACCTGCCCATCTGCCTGAGACATGCATATTTCCATGGAAGGATGCTTCGCTCACTGTGGGACGGTGGTTTGGAAGAAGTTGATGCTCATAAAATAAATGCACCTCTATAAGCTTTATAGTGCAGGCAGTACTATTGAGACAGGTAACTTTCTTCTGGCAAATTTGAACCATGTGCAGCAGAATGCAGACTAGAGAGGACACTACTATGGGAGAGTAGCATTAAGGCTATTTGCAATGCGGGAGCTATTATGCTAGCTTTTCCCATCCAATGCTGGAAGAGTACACAGTGCTTAGTCTTGCTTGAAACAAGTCTAATGTAAATGATGGTATAATGGCCTGTGTACAAATGGGAGTGTTTCACTGTTTACATGTGTGGTGTGCATGGTAGGAGGCCCAACTTGTGGCTAGGAACCAAATTTCTCTAGTACAGATACACCCCTGACGATGACTTCAGAATAACAAATCTTGAAGTTGATTAATATGCCCAGGAGAAGTACAGATCCAGAGCTGTAATCTTCAGCATAGTGAGCCACAGCAAAGTTACTTAATTAGCGCTCAGTCATCTGCATTCTGAGTTACCTCCTTGATAGAAGACTCTAACAGGGGAGGTGCATAAGCACTTATAAAGGGAAGAGAAACGGTCAGAATGGAGAGAGAGCCAGCAGAAAACATCTTGTATCAGAGGGGTAGCCGTGTTAGTCTGAATCTGTAAAAAGCAACAGAAGGTCCTCTGGCACCTTTAAGACTAACGGAAGTATTGGGAGCATAAGCTTTCGTGGATGCACTTGCATCTGAAGAAGTGAGGTTCTTACCCACGAAAGCTTATGCTCCCAATACTTCTGTTAGTCTTAAAGATGCCACAGGACCCTCTGTTGCTTTTTACAGAAAACATCTTAACAGGGAAGCCTGTTGTGAGTTAAAAATCAACAATATTAGGGTTTTCCCCTTACATCAATTCTCATCCAGATAAGTCTCTTTTGCCTGTAACTCTTAATTTGTTTCTTTCTGTAATGTTTGTTACCCAGCTCTGTAACTGTATTATTTAACCATGGAAACATTTTGAAAGGCAGGTTGCATGAACGAGCGGTAATTAGCCCATGTGCATCTCTGCAAAGTATGCACAACAATAAACATCGCACCTCTAACACTGCGACCTCCTGCCCATTTCGAAGCAGACGGAATGTCAAGGGATGCTTGGAATCCAAGCCTGGAATGACTTCACAGCCACGCAGAGGAATAGAAACAATGTGGGTCTTCAGATCTGTTCTGTCCTTATGGAAAATGAGCTTATTATCTTTCACTCTGCACCAGCGTTCACGCCACCGGTTATTTGAGAGCACATTCAGATATCCTGCAATAAAACAAAATACGAGGTATTTTATCCTTCACTTATTTAAAAGAAACTGCTTTTTCAATGTAATGCTAGTTCATATAAAATTTATTCCTGTATGTGCAGATTGAAAATCCAGATGATTTTATAAAGACAAATAAATGGCCTTTTAATTTTTTTTTATTGAAACTCTTACTGTACCAGTAACTCAGAAAGCATGGCTTATAAAGATTTGATCCTGGTCATATTCTGAACATATGCAAATGACTGTGCTGAGTTAGTGGCAGTTATGGCTGAATATTCCAGGGCTCCTCTGCCACAGGGTTTCCCTGAGATTTTAGTAAAAATGGAGTGCGGGAGTCGGAGTCAAGAGGTGTTCCCACAGTGAACCCCAAAGTAGGATGATGTTTAAAAACACTATTTAAAAGGTTTCAGTATATCCTAGACTACACTAGAAACATAACCTGCTCATGTGAGAGTTACATGCACAGCTGATTTGTGCCCACACAGCTTTTTCACAACTGAACTGTATTCTACAGTTCTATGGATACATCCAGATCTATCACTGCTAATTGTGTTTTCATAGTGCTTACTGGGAAAATAGTGACAGCTAACCCATGATGACTCAACAAGGAACAAGGGGACTAATGGACATGCACATAAAACAGCACCAGCAGCACATGGGACTAAGCACTCAAAAGACGTCCCACTGCTTAGAGAGTTGGAAGGAAGCAAGATCAGCAAAAGTGGTTACACAGGCATGATTACGAGGTCCCAGCTAAACAGCAAAATATGAATGTTATGACCTGGCTGCAGGAAAACAACCGTATGCAACCTAAGCTGCTGATGAGGGCAAAACACCATTACAGGCCCATAGTTACCATGTGTTATTAATTATGTTTCTTGTGTGCAAGATGTGTAGAACCAACCATGCCATTAACTGGTTATAAACCCAGTGAAATGTTGTATGAATACAGACGGTAAGTTAAATATAGTGGTGGAGTTTCAGTGAACTATGTGTAAAGGGGACTGCAGGGCACTGGGAGAAAACCCTGTGCTACTGTGAGATGATCAGAGAGTGAGCTTGTGTCAATATTGTCTGAAAACAATTCCATAAAGACCCATTAAACTGGATTCATTTGGCACTTCATTCTACTTAGCTAGAATAGCTAAACCAGAGTGATCAGTTTTACTTGTTGCTCATCGTATTTAATTTTGTGTAAAACACCCACTTCTGCCGTTCTTTGAGTTCACTGCATGGAAATTTTAAAGCAGAATCAAAAAATCTCCACTGGGATTTCACTGAAATTAAAATTAAAAACTAAACAAAACAAAAAAACCCCAAGAACATCTTCATATTAGGTTTAGTTAAACCAGTAGTTTATACTGGAAGAGAAAAGGACCTTTGAACTTGGCTCCCAATCACATATGGTGCATGAATTATAGACAGTATATTTCCACTTCCAAAGAGTGTATTAAAAGAGGAAAGGATTGAATGACATCTTCTTCAGGGCAGAATTTATATGAAATGACTCATCTTTTACCTCACTGCCGATTTTCATTTTCAGTCACAAGGAGGAAAGCTCTTAATCATTCTGGATAGATATCTTTTTGGTTTTCATTAAAATTATGTATTATATGGCTTAATTTTTCTGGGTTTCCATTCCAATATCACAGTTACAACTTCAGGGCTTGATCCAGCAGGATATATCAGCATATCTGAACTGTGCAACCCTTGGAAGATGCCACCAACCTCCCCTCCCTCCCCCACAAAATAAAAAAAGTGGAAATCTGGAGAAGGAAAGAGCCTCCTGATCTTGGTTACTTAGGATTCTCAGTATTGTCCACCCCACCACACCCCAACCTTCCCCCTCTTGAAGATGTAAGAGATTGTATAGTTGGTGCAAAACGATCCAACTGCAGGGATGGAAAAGCCTTCTCATATACATGGCGGCTGACCTATTTAGGAACGATGAGGGGTTCCTATTATTTAAGCAAAATCTCTCTTTTTAATCCCATTGTGCCTCTCACAGAAGCTCTCCCAGTCCAACGTACTTTCCCTGAATTAAAAGAGGATCCCCCTCCCCCTTTTTTCCCCCTCCCAAATAGCCCTATTTAACTTTCAAAAATCAACATGTATCCAAGTCCTGTGAATGGTCTTAAATGAGGGGCGGGCCAAGGGGAGAAGGAGAGACAGCTTTGGACTCTGCCCATTGGCCAGATTTACAAAGAAAAGCAATCCAACTTTGAAGAACCCTCCTTGTGATTGCCAGAGTGCAGGGGGATTTCCTTTTCTCACACTGTGTCACCTCACCACAACTTCATTTGTCTTTTTCCTTCCCTTCTTTGATTTGGAAGTAAGGCATGCTCAGCGAAAAAAGCCTCAACCTATGGAGCAGCCAACAGGAACGAGCCAAATTCGGAAAATGATGCAAAACTCCTTCTTCTGCAAAGGCTTCCAACACTGATCAAAGCAGAAGCACTAGTAATATGTATTTCCAAATAAAACCTAGAAAGCGTGCCGAGTAGAGCCCATTACCAACAATACTAACAACTATATTTAGTGCCCAGATAGGAGATAATGGACAGTATCGAAATACTACAGATTACATTATATAACTATAGTCTAGAGGAACATATTCTGGGAAAAGAAATATCTCACATAATAGAGAGTAGTCAATTAATTGCAAAGCCCAGAAAGTTTTTAGCTTCCATGGAAGCCAGATGTTGCAGAAGGTCAGTTGTGCTTTTTCCAGCTGCTCTTTTTGGTTGATAAACACATCTGTACTCTCTTATATCTCACACACACATACACACAAACATATTTTTAATAACAAAATTTGCTTATACATGTGATTCTCAAGCTGTGGTCTGTGGACCACTTGTGTCTATGACACAGTCCATGAAGTTGCTTCTATCTGTCAGGCTTTAAGCAATAATGCTTTCTGCCATTTGCTGCCCCATGAATGACCTCTTTTAGGAGACTTTTCTGATCATCTAAAGGGGAAAATAATCCCTTTGGGCACCTTTGAACCCTGTATAGCTGCTTCATGGCTTTCTTTTTTTAGGTGTTTCTTTGATTTAAATTGAGCTGTGTTCGCATATGGAGTTGTTATTAAAACAGGAAAACAAAACCTAATTGTAAAGTGTCCTGGAAAGGAAAGGAGCTGTTGGGACTGAGCGAAAGGTCAGCACTAAATATACACATACCTACAGGGGGGGGGGAGGGGGGGAGGAAGAGAGAGAGAGAGAGAGAGAGAGAGAATAAATAGCATGGATAACTAAAAGTTTTAGGGAGTAGGAAAAGAAGTTAAGCAAGACAACT